AAATTAATATTTACATAATATATGTATATTATTAAATTCATCTTTACATAATAACGAAATATTCTAGACTTATTAAAAATACAATTATAGTAGAACAATGAATGATATATTGCAACATTAATCAAACTTAAAATATTCTTGTCCGTAGTTTGGCCCTTACAGTTTGAAAAAAGACTTTTGCATAGTAATTATTATTTAACATTTTTTAAATATATTCTCATTTTCTAATATTCATGAACAATAAAGCATAATTCAAATAGCCTTTGCAAACTTATACGTCATATTACGAAGTATGTATACAGTATTTGGAAGTATTTACAAGCCTATCAATATGCGCGAAACTTGAACTATTAGTAGATTGAATACTAATACTTATATTTTAGATGAAACTGAACGAACATAAAGAAGATAAAATCATTTATAACGTATGAATAAAATAGAAATAAACTATATACAAATGTATATGCAATAAAGAGAAATGTTGATTAATTACAAAGTTATTGTGTTGCATTTGACGCTATGCTGTACCATATTGTCGTAGTTTGTATCTGGCGCCAAAATGAATCACTGACTGATATAAGTCAGTTAACTTCTCTGATGTTGGTAACGTTTTTGAATAATGTTTGTACTTGACGCGAACGCGTCTATTGTTGAAGCAGGTAGTAGTGATCATTTATTGAATAATTGATAGTGTGTGATCAAATATAGAATGAAGAAATGTGCTTCCATGATAAAGAAAATAATGACTTTCTCAACACAAAAAATGAACTTGAAAGACATATTACCTTGACAAAATTTGAAACATCTCTGCAACAACTTGGTTATACGAGAGATTTTATCTATGTATCTTTTAATGAAACAATCAGTCACATAATATATATTTAAAGCATAATAAAGAAAATATTAATTACATATTTAATGAAAATGAATACGGAACACGACTACAATGTAGCAGTTAGGTATAGAACTGTTCGTAAGCATTTGGATAGCCTGGGATATAAACACTCTATAGCTTTGGATTCATTGCCACTGATAGAAAAATTGTTAGCCGATCTTCTTCAAACAACAGAAAGTTTGAAACATTTTAAAAGCATTGCACAAGACAATATCGAGGTTTGTATGACCAATAGTTTATATAAATCATAAAGTGAAAAAAACCCACAAAAAACACTTCTAGATGTCATGTAGATGTCCTGTTTTATGGCATTCGCTCTGAATAATAAATGGAACTTACATAACATGTATTTGATTTTATTCTAAATTGTATTTCTATGTCATCCTTTATATGAAACAAATAATATACTGTCAAGAATCTATCAATGAATTTATGAAAAGTGATCAATATATTTTGATGGAGTATCACAAAAAGAATTATACATAAATTTCATAATGTTTTTTGTTATTTGTTGTTTTTGATCTTAATTTAGGTACATTCTCAGTTACAATCTGCAATTGATCCTTATAAATGTGACAATGCAAGATTGGTAGATGAATGCAACCGTCTTCACTTTGATTTGTCAAAGGCAAAGGAAAATCATCAGAAGCAAATCAAGGATCTGAAGAGAGAGATACATAAATTGGAGCGTGAGTGCAATGATCTTCAACTGGCATCTTCTCGTAATTTACATAGAATTAAGGAGTTAGAAACAGAATCTTCTAGGAAATCTAAAAAGATCCTAGAATTGCAAGGGAAATGTTTGAAGCCAACAATTAGTAATGTTGGACTAGGTATATATTCGTTAGCATGTAAAAATAATGCATATACTTTATTGAAGTTCTATGTAGTTTCTTATTCACTTTATCAACTTTTTTCAGCTTCTAAGAAGCGTCCTTGTTATCCTCTTCGAAGAGCAGTTTTAGAAAGTGAACCATTACCAAAAACAGGGACTAAGGTCAATCCTCTGCCAAGTTTAAGTACAGTGGAACCGAAGACTGTTGACTTGTTAAACATGGCAGACCATAAAATGAATTGTTTGACTCATGAGGTAACAAAACTAAAGGGAGAACTTTTATTACAGACTGACAATGCGCAAATGCTAGAAAGTCAGGTATACTACTGAAATTTATATTTGCATGACTTTGGAAAAATTCCTCTTATATTGCATGCATTTGCTTGTGAATACTATGGAATGATGATAATAAAAATATTATTTAATTCATATATATTCAGAATTAGATATTATCATACATATACAACTACGTTTGCAGTTAACTGACAAGGAAAGAGAAATCATAAGGTTGAAAAAATTATTAGAAGGCGGCAGACCATATTCTGCAGTTTCAAAGGATTGTCCCTGTAAGAAAATGGAAAGTAATTTTATAACGTCTACTGATGGGATAGATCTTCATGAGTTAAAGATTCTCCAGAAAGAAAGATTAGAGTTGGAGCAACAACTGAAAGGTAAACAGAGAAATCTAGATCTGGAAATATTTTAACTTGTAGCCTTACATGGCTCACCTAGTACATTTTTTTACAGAAGCTTTAAATAAACAACACGATGCGATGACACAAGCACTAAAACTTGCGGACCGTAATGAAGAATTAGAGAAAGAATTACGAGACATAGATCACATAGCTTTAGCTGTGGAAGCTGACTGCAATTCTGCTGTTAAAGAAAATAACGAAAAAGTTTCCAAGCTTCAGGTAATTTTGTAATATTTATAATAATGCTGGCACTCTATAGAAATTTTACATTTTTATTTATTTCCTCTTAGCAAAAGTTGCAAGATCTCATGACCCAAGTACATATTTTAGAAGGTGAATTAATTGTTGAACGCAGGGAAGTACAGGAATTGAGAGCGGACCTCGAGGCTTGCAGATTGGAGAAACGTAATATCCAACGAAATTTAGAATCTACGTTGGATGAAAAGAAGCATATAATAGATAGGATAAATGAACTGACAATAATTGGTACTTGAAATTTCGAATAGTAATTCGTAATTAATATAACATTGGTATTGCTATACTAAATGAACGTTTTACAACTGATTTTATAGAAAAAAATTTGAACGATGAGATAGATAGACTATCTAGCGAAAACGAGAGGCAAAGACAAGATGTTATTCAATTACAGTATAGCAATAAATTATTAAAGGAACAAATACATACGAAGGAATCATTGCAAGCTGATGCCGAAATTTTGGCATCGGTTCAAGAAAAAGGGAAGAAGAACGATTACAATAGAGGTATAACGTTGAATAAATAATATTCATGTGAATTATTGTGTATTATTTTTTGAATAATATAAAAACTTTTTTTGTGGTAGGACAAAACGGAATAAATATTCAAGAAATGTGCAGAGGAAGAGACATTAATATAAACAGTATTGAATATGAAAGTATACGCAAACAATTGGATGAGAAAGAAACTCGATTGAGTAATGTATGAATTTTAATATAAATAAGTTATTATGCATATTATTATATGCAAAATACTTGATACGTGGCATTTAACAATTATTGCAGTTAGAACAAGGAGTTGAAAAGCTGAGAAGAGAAAGGGACTTTTACAAGAACGAATACAATAACGTGAAAGATCGTAACAATAAAACTATAGAAAAAGATCATGTGAGGCACATGTTAAATTGTTAACTACATTTTTTAAATCTTTTAAAGTATATTACAAATATAGATCTTTTTCTTAATTAAAAAATAGGATGATCTGTGGTCAAGAATTCGTGAATTAAAATACCAGTTAAGTGAGAAAGAGACCATGATAGATGAATTACAGCGAGAAAAAAATGAACTATTTCGAGAAAAGACTAATTTAGAGGGGCGATTGCAAAATTATAAAACCGATCATAAAGTCTCCCATCGACCTTGCAATATATGCAAACACAGCATTTCATGCAATTGTTCTTCTCCTACTTTCAGGGACACTAACAAAGTAAAGGTAAAAATCTGTAAATAGTTAAGAAGATGAATATTATATAACAAAAGAATATTTTTAGGGTATTATTGAACGTTTGGAACACGAACGGGATATGGCCCGAGCAGATATTGAACGATTGATGGAAGAGCGTGATGCATTACGAGAAAGATTGAAAGTAATTACCTTCTTCATTAATATGTATAATATTATGACACTTTTCTTGTGATACTTTTTTTTCTATTATCAATAAAACATTGTATTATTTTATGGTTAGATAGCAGTAGAAGCACACACGTCCGAACAGCGTCGATTAAGAGAAACATTGTCCGAAGTGGAAACTCGTTTGAAGCAGATAGAGAAAGAACGACAGGAGCTTTTGCTCACCCAAGGAGCACGACGGGCAACCATAAATGGATTAGAAGATCAATTGGAAGATCTACGAGAGGAGCTAAAGCGAACTAAACAAGAATTGTCCACTCAACGCACCCAGTATTTTCAACTCAGGTATTTCTGCATTTTCTGCAAAACGTAGTAATTATTTATTTGTAAACTTATTAAAGTAAGTAGTTATGTTGCATTTTAGAATAAGTTGTATCTGTATTATTAATTTATATTGTTTTAAACTTAAACAAATTAATATAAAAATTGGGTATTTAGAGCACTACAAGACCAGACCGATCAGTCACTGGGTGACACTCAGAATCAATTAACTCAATCGAAGTCCGAATTAAATAAGGTGTTGGATCGCAATAGAACAATGGAACGACAGCAGTTACAGTTTGAAAATCAGATAAAGGATTTACAGCAGGAAATTAATCATTTAAAGACAAACATGACGCACTTGGACCATGAAAAGGATCAATTGCTGGTGAGTGATTCATATTTGTTAATATATAATAAAATGATAAAATCAAATAATTATTGTTAGATGGTATTGGATGAGAAAACAGAAAGAATAGCCGCGGTAGAGAGGGAAATGATGCAGAAGGATCAACAGGTTGTAGGATGCGATCACCAGATCCGAGAATTGCAACACAAAAACGAGTGAGTATCATTTCTTTCATTTATCAAAAACAAATTCGTCGTAATTTTAGAAACGTTTGTTATAAATTACATGTATTTACATAGACCTAGATGTAATATTCAATTTGAATCGAGAAGGAAGTAATCAATATCGCAGGACTCAATATACCGAACACTGCATTAGAAAAATGCACTAAAATAAATAGGAATTCTTATGACACTTAAACGAGCGTGTAAAAGTATTACGCGCACAGTATTTTCGTACAGTATATGTACAACTCTATTTACACATATTTGTAAGCATATAAAAGCAGTTCTTAGAAGTTGATTGACTTCATGTTTTCGTTAAGAAACCTGGCCAAACTGACAGCTGGTGGTTGACAATTTCCCGGCGACAAGAGACTGTTGCTTTCCAGCTCGGACACTTCAAAGCTGTCCGTGACCCTTTTATATCCAGGTCTGCACTCGCATCTAGCTTTCAATTCAGGCTCCTGGTTTTTCCACAACGTTGGTTTCGGTATTCTTCTCGCTACTAACCATTCCCCTGCGGTGCAAGGGCCTTGTGTATACAGTTTGTAACAGGTTCTATTCATCACTACCATGCCTGGCGTGGACTCACAACTATCGATAACGTCTTCAGAACACTTATCAGTTCCCCTAAGTGCGCTTGTACAGCCACAAACTCCGTTATAGCTGATTCCATCGATAGAAGGTCGCACACTATGATCGTATAAAACAATTTGTCCACGTGAACATGGTCCTTTCGTTCCCACTTTGTAACACGTCTTCTCTTGAGGGAAATAGAGTCTTCCTCGCTTGCAAGGCACTAGTGCACAAGTCGTTGAGTTCACTAACATGTGACCATGTTCGCAAGGTCCTCTAGTATAAAGTCTGTAACAGAATCCGTCTGTGTAGTGCACATGGTTCGGTTTGCACACACACTGGGCTCGAACGATGTCTTCACTGATCACTGAATTTGTGATAACAAAGTGATGGCCTTTCAAACATGGACCAATACCGCCTGTTGAGAGATATTTATAAATTACTTCAATTGTAAACACAGTAGACCAAGTCAGCGTTCAATTCACGGTTTGCTTGTCTTACCTAATTGATAGCACATTCCAGTCGGCTTGTGATAATGAGGTAATTCATGGTTGCAACCGCACACTCCACCTGGCAGAAATAGCTCACCAGGCTCTGTGCATGGTCCTTTAGTGTAGTGTTCGTAACAGCCTTCTACACTGCTCAACCAGTGGTATCTGCCAAGTTCACCTGTTCCCGAACAGGAACACACTGTTAGGCCATCCTCATCTCTAATGAGGAGTTCACCCTTTGGACATGGTCCTCTGGTAAGCTTTGGATAACACTTGTCGTCCCTTGGCCAATATACTTCATTCTTTTCCGGACATGGTTCTGGATCGCGACAGACACCCCATCTTTATTAAAGGAACATAAAAATTGCTGATATGACATTCGATAGCAAAAATTGTTTGACTCATGCACACATGCTTGATATACTTCGTAAATTCTATACTACCTAGATTTCCCAGAGGTCTCGGGCACTGGTGCAAAGAACTGGCCTTTCGGACATGACGCCCTTGAGTATATCGAATGACAAAGTGCGTCTCTAGGTGACTGTGCCGTACCAGGTGGACACCTGCACTCTGCCACAGTTCCACCTCCACCTGCAGCAGGTCCTAGCTCCATTGTCTCTGGACATGGAGGCCCAATCTGCATTAAAACAATATTTTTATTTGATCGGTTCTCTGGGAGGTGCACATTTGTTCTTCTGAACTTCTTCGACTAAGCTACAGAATTCAGATACTTTATTTTCACTGTGACAGCATAAGAGAAATGTATGAGGCTTCTTGGAGGGATGAGCTACCAAGAGAACACCCAATGGTCTTCCTAGAAAGAGAAATGCAGCACCTGCCTGGAATATTTTGTAACACTTTCCATCCGCCGGCCAAAATAACAATTGCCAGCCACGTGGTTGGGCGGCACAGGGATTGCTCGAGGGATCTGCCCATGGTGGAGGCATAATTGCTGATCTAACGTTTAGTGGTAGGAACCAGATGATGACCAGCAGATGCTTCAGGGCGCTGAAACATGCTTATGTTAATAAAACCCGAACAAAATCATAGGCGCGAGTAGTAAATTCATAGACACAAGTTGCGTTTCTTTCGGTTTATATATTTTGATCGCGTCGATTTAATGGATCGCGGTGAAAAAAGCAGAAAAGTGAAAATTCTAATAAGAAATCTCCTAACTGTGCGCACGTGTGTTAGGATTGAGGGAACGACAGGGAGGAGCAAAAGCAAGGCAGAAATAAAATGACCATACTTTCACTGTTTCACTATGGCAATGGCATTGTCCCTGGCGGCAGGGCTCAGAATGACGACACGCATGTCAAATAAGAATACCATCCCGCGCGACTACCTCACGACTTGCAAACTGAAAGCAAAAACACTTTTCTCTTTCCTCTTTTTCATTGACTCCGAGCATTCTAAGTTGCTAGTGACTCGAACGCGGTATCCGGTGTACGGCTTTGATGGAGGAGAGATTGTATCTTTCAAGTACAATTATACAATGAATCCTTTCAGACGTCTTGCAGCTGAAGATGCATTGCTCCAAGTAATAGATTTTTCTTTACAGTGCACAAGTGATCGCTGATCAAAATGTCTTGGACACTCTGTATCTTTCGTGCACAGAATTCGAAGCATGTTTCGAGGATTTGATGGGGTTCTCTTATAGAATACAGAATGCAAGGGACCTTGGCATCTAAATTCGAACACCAGCTGCCGCGGCAAGCTTTTCTCCAACACTTTCCCATTGCAGTTGCGGAACTAGTTTCGTAGATCTCCTCGTTATCGTTTTACTAATTACACTTTTTCGATCGGTGCTCTAGTTACATATGTGCTCTGCAATTCGAATGATCTTTATTGGTGGACAGTTCCGTTTAGACAGTTCCGTTTAGATATACCTAGAATCTATGAGACATAAACACAACTCCCAAAGCATTACAAATACTTTCTTCCTTCATTGATCGTAAATTAAGCAGTTTTATAACTATACGGGAGCCAAGCAGGGAATAGTTTTGTTGATTAAAATGATTACAGTGTTAAAAGACCATTACATTTTATAATAATTTTTGGTCTCTTTTGAAAATGTTTAATCGACCAGGATGAGAAGTTTCATGTAGAGACGTATTCTGGTCGACGGTCGCCATTTGATTTTTTGTTGTTCTTGCTATATAACGAGCAGCAATTTGCCGCGTGCCGTTTCGGAGTAGACGATAGGGAAGAGGTCGCGTGCCGTTATGGAGGACTACCGCGTGTGTCGCAGAACGTCGTGCTTCCCCTTCCGGTTGCAATTATTGTCGTTCGCTGTCAGACCAGTGTAACCGGTTGTTCACGCGAATCAAAAGTGAGAGTAACAACGATCAGGATCTCGGAAGAAAAATCGTTCTAAGCGTATGCTATAATTACTGTAGTAATTTCTCAATTATGTCGATTGAGATGAAAATATCGATGACCTTGAAGTCGCGAGAACTACGACCTTGAAACGATTTTCTCGCTTATCGTAATACATTTTCTTCTCGAAGACCAATCGTGTTTCGTAGATATTTTGGGTACTCGAGTCAGGTGTTAATTCGTCATCGAAAAACCATAGAAGAAGTTTATAAAAAGAATAGTGCCTCGAAAGCGAGTGCTATCCTGCTGTACACTTTGAAGTATACAGGGTGTCCCAAAATTATGGTACTTCCGGGACATTAGGGGGTTCCTGAGGTAATTCGAAGTAATTTTTTCCTTTACAAAAATTTTCTCCGAGGCATCGTTCACGAGTTATTGACAAAAATAAAACAGTGACCAATGAGAGGCGAGCTCGGCTGCCTTGCGCCAGCCGAGCCAACGAACGAACGAAGCCCGATTTCGCTGATTGGCTCGGCCGCCTCGCGTCAGCTGATCTCGCCTCTCATTGGTCACCGTTTTTCGTAAATAACTCGTAAACGAAACGGCAGATTGCATTTGCGCTAAGGAAAAAGTTACTTCAAATGACATCAGGAATCCCTCGTTTCCCGGAAGTACCATAATTTTGGGGCACCCTGTATATATAGCGCCGGTCGAGAAAATCGGCGATCACGATAATACGATTTAATTCGGGACTCCCTTCGATAATGAGAGTGCTGCTCGCGCGGGATTACAACAGGTGTGCTCGCGCGTTCCTTCCTCCCATGTAATTGCTTTATTGTGGCCGCGTGCACACGAGAAGTAAAAGTAGACCATTGTTCGGACCGGGACCTGGAATATTCATAGGAGCATAGCGAACGGGGATCCTCGTTATCATCTCCCTTGACGCGGGTGTACTCCAGCTAATTGCCCGTTGCGCAATCATTTAATTACCGTGGCCACCGGGAGCAATGGTTACATCACTGCTTTCACGTTTCGCCGAGTTTTAATCCGCTAATCACCGAGATACACGTCGATCAGGATCAATTTCCCGTACAAATCATCCGCTGGGACGTTCGCGTTGTTGTTCACAGTCGTTTCCCGTGCTATTTGCTTGCTAATTAGTAGTCGATTGCAACATTAAAGAACGTAACGTTGTTCGAGCTTTTTTTTTAGCGTGATTTACCGTCGACAATAGAGCGTCGTTAAATCGTAGCCGTGGCGACATAGTTTGCAATAATGACGACAGACGTGTAATCCGTGCAAAATTCTTCGTGTCTGGGTGTTTAAGTACAAGAAGAAATGTTTAAACGACGAGAGAGAGAACCGTCCGTGTGAATCATTAGTATGAACTTATGAAAGACCGTGGATCTTTATGCGACACCAAAAATTTTCTGGTTATACTTTATGAAGTTAGAAAAATGTTTGTCTCGTCGGTGTTTCTGACATCACGACGTTGCACTGCAAGTAATACTTGTGCATCATTGTATTCTTTGTATCCATATTCCGTGTAAGAGCACGAAAATTTGCGGTCCAGCAAATTTATTTGCATGGGAAGCATGGATTCCGTGAAAGCTTGCTCGCATTGCTGTTCCAGTCGCGGCGACGACAGACGACACAGGTACGATATGATGCTCCTTTATTCCGATGTTGACGAATGGATTGCACATACGGTGTCCGAAAACTATGTATAATACACAGGCACACCCTGGACGATCGCGGCTCTATGTATAAAGGACTCCTAACGACAGGTTCAAAATCATGCGTGCTTTATAATAAATTCGCATCGAATTATTATAATCTTCTTCTCTCTTTGGCGGACTACTCTTCGCGAGGTATTCAACATTTCATGGTTTCTTTCACGTCCAGATTCCCTCTCTCAGTTTTTACAAGCGGTTGCGCAATGGTGGCCGCGTAATAAACGATAAAAATCGCCGGCGTTATGTCATTCGTGTCGGTTCTGTTATTTTACAATGTGGAGCAAACGTTTCGTAGATCGTCTCTTGATAAATATTCGAAGCTTCTGAAATAATTGAAACGAAAAATTGACGCGCAGAATCTCAAGCCCGATTCGTTTCCAGTTTTCATAATTTTTAGCCGACTCCAAATTGTGAGTGTGAAAGATAAGGGACTTTCGTTTGGAAAATCTAAATCAGTTCTGATAGCGTCCAAAATAATTCTGGTAAAATTTAGACAGAGAATTTTCGGATCAAACGGCCGATTCAATTTTGATCGAACGCTAGAAGAATTTTTATAAGGGATGCAAACGGAGTCTTTCTACCACGACCGATTAGTAAGTCTAAGTCAAGGAGACCGCTTAGGATGGTTTTGTCCAGTGGAGACAGAAACAGTGTCAAGGTACACCGGTGGCTCCTCTTTCATTACGAAACAGCTGAAATTTATTCGAAACGAATAGCGTACGCATGTCCTAACAGAGTAATTCGATAAACTCCGATCATCTGCTATTAGGACAGGATCGCATTGGCAAACAGTGAGTGTTCTATTAGATCCGTTTCGAACGGAACGAGACACGTTACGCAATCCGACATAGTCGATTAATAAGAGAGAAGATCGAATTGATCTTCTCCAGTAAGTCATAAAGAAGAGAATCTATCGCGAAGATCACGCCGTGACATTTATGCCGGTGAAACGAAACGACCTTTACGAGTTAGTCATTGCAATTGTGCAACCGTCTTCTGATTGTTGCTGGAGGAACATGCTCTCCGATGAAGTCGATCGAGTCGACGATTCCGAGCATTTCAAAAGGTGAAAGGGCGACCTTTTTTTTATTCATCCCTTTCATATTTTATTGTTACCGTAATTTTATTTAACGAGGTCAAGAGCGACCAGAGCGGCGTTACCAACAGATTTTCATCAGAGATAATCGAGCAATTTGGAAAAGAATCAACGGTTTATTCGAACGATCTGACATACAAATGTTCCGAGTCAACGCCGAGCACGATAAAATGTCAGATCGCGTAAACAATAATTTGTCCAGTATTTTTAAATAATTCCTCAAGTATTATTTTATCTCGATCGTAATCCTTCTTTCGTTCCGATCACACAAAAATAATGATTTCGAGAAACTTACGAAGCGATTTCCATGGTGGCGATCTTGCGGAGGGAAACAGGGATGAAATAAAACGAACAATTGTCACATCACAGACATAGCGCCCCTGGGAGAATAATTTCACCGGGTCCTTCGGTTACTCGACATATCACGTGTATCGGTCGCAGTACACGCGACCATAAAACGATGCTATCCGTTCGAGTGCCGCGTTCAAACTGACACCACCGAGTCCCGAGGACTCGGCGAAGCGGCTTCTCTTGGTGCTGTCGCTTCGGTTACCTAACCGCCCCGCGACAACAACCGAATCGATCCCCCGGTTCACCTTCCTCCATTCCTTCTTTCCACGTTCCTTTCCTTTTTTTTGGCGGCACCAAGCCGAGCCGGTCCGGCTTGGAAAAATCGCGGGCAATTAACGAGGCTTATGGGTTTCCTCGATTATGTAAAATCCGCCCCGACCATGCTGCACTGTGACCTGAAAAACTGCTTCATATCGGACACAAAAACGCTTCTTTATCGATTTCATCGAAGCACGACCTTCGCGCGGACCTTTGGCCACGAAAAATTCACGGAACCTGCAGTTTCTTCTCGCTCGAAGAAATTTCTCTCATGCTCGATCATATATTCTCAACTTCTGTGTAAAATCCAATTGACCCGCGGGAACCGCTGACCGGTTCACACGGTCAAAGAAATCTCCTGAAAACGGTACCCGTGCGGCTATGCGCCTAGCATCCGGCTCGGGCTCCCTCGATCACGGATCCAAAGATCGAGAGAGGTAAAAAGCGGATCGCGCGCGGGTTGTCGCGTGTAGGCTTTCGTAACGGCCGTTCCACGATGAGGCATGAAATCATGCCCGAATAAGTTAGCGGACGCAACAGCACGGCGTCGGAATTCATACGGTCTTAACCCTATCCCGGACGATCTTGCATGGGCCTCCGGTTTGCGCTCGCTTTACAATGTTACATAATCCTTCGTTCCGATTGCACTCGCGGATCTGTCCGTCGACGGATTTCCTTGAAAATTCCCCGATTGCGAAAGAATTTCGCGCCGATTCCGCTAAACGGGGACCACTTTCGTCGGCGTCGACCTCCGAAAGGTCGGTCCGCCTCGTGATCGCTGCCTCGTGTCGTTGCCGGACCCTCGGTGACGGCACAATGTTGCATCATACGATCGCACGGAGTCCACCGAAACACCAAATCTTTTTATTTATCAGTTCCTATATAATTATCGAGCCGCATAATGACTTTTCTTTCGATTCGACTCTGTGCAACTACATCTCAGTGTTTGGAAAATCTGTTCCGAGTGCAAAGAGTTATGTTAGTCGCAAATCAGCAGATCGAATAATCTACTGGGCGTCCCCGAAATAAGTGAGCAGACTTCGGTATTATATTCTGTATCTCCGAAGAACGAGAAACGCATCATACAAACATAGATCCGGAAATTCTTCGTTTTCGAGATAACAGCAAATTATAGCGAGGTAATCAATAAGTACAGTAATTCCTCCCTAATTCGCGCTCAGTTTGCGCGCAAAAGTGGACAATCTTGGAAGAGGAGATACGATTGTTCGAGCCTTGCGTCCCGTTTTTATAGTCGTCGACAATCGATAACCATAAAAATAAGTCCCAAGTCTCGAATAATCGTATTTCCTCTTCCAAAATAGTCCATTTTTGTGCGCAGTCTCAACGCGAATTAGGGAGAAATTGCGGTATCGACAATGTCGCAATGCAGAGAACATTAATCGTCGGGGCATGTGGCAAAATTCGAAACACCAGGGCTCTTTGAACATAGTCGGCAGTCTATGAAGCGCAGATGCGGATTCATTTCAGCAATTTCTTTAAGTAAATCGCAACTCTTCGAAATCTAATCTCGCGAACGAAAAGTATTTACAGTAATGTCTCCCTAATTGACGCTCAGATTGTCCACAAAAATGGACAATTTGAGAAGAGAAGATACGATTATTCGAGTCTTGCAGCTCGTTTTTATAATTGTTGACTATTGAAAACAATAAAAAACGAGCCACAAGGCTCGAATAATGGTATTTCCTCTTCCCAAATTGTCCATTTTTGTGGACAATCTGAGCGCCAATTAGGGAGACATTACTGTATCTCGAAAACGTAGAGTTTCCCGACCCATGTTTATACGATCTTTTCGGGGACACCCTCTATAGCTTCGACCAAGGAACGAGTACCCGTTGAGAAACTGCAGGTTCAGTTGGAGATGTCGACTTGGTTCACGAATGTCTTTCGTTAACGGATCATTCATCCTCGTTATTTGACGAACATTTGCACTCGCGATCAGTATACTTTTGATGGTACTTCATCCGGACCTTCTAGCATCATCTAAATCACCTTGTACCGAATTGCCCCGGCACGGGTCTAGGAGACCTTGTGTTAACGTTGTTCCGATGAATCACTGGAGAATCCGGAGCATCAACGGTCCAGGTATCTCGAGGATCACGTAATCTCTAGAGGTCCGGGAACGTTGAGGAGATTACAACGGTTGTTACGTTGGTTCGTGGCACTCTCACGCGCTGATACGCGCGTAGCATCGAAGTTTCGAGGAACCGTGCAATGCCCTTTACCTGTAACGGTAAAGGTGAACGGCACCTGGATAAGGGCGGCCACGCTTTGACATCCGGAGACGTGGTCAGAGTCAGCGGACAATTAGTTAGGCTCGCCTCCACAGTTTTAGTTTTCGATTCAGAGCCACTGCGACGTTTTTTCCATTTTCCTACATCAACCCTTAGCGCTCCGTTGGCTCCGCTATGGAGACATCCGTCACTTGTTGTTCCGTAAATCCGAAGGATTTATTTATTTTATTGCTGTGGAGCCCAATGATTTTAGCATGATTACACTGAAGATGCTACGATTTTGTCGACGTTGGCAATTGTTATTTGTAGTAAAAACGTGCTTAGCGTGTGTACCATTACGATAAAAATATTTTTTTTGCCCATTTTTATACTTAGCAACATAAAATGAATAGAATCGAACGCTTTCACAAGGACGTGTAATCTTTTCCGCTCGAAATAAGACTTCCTTTATCTCAGGCGCTTTGCTCCAAAAATGTGCCGGAGTTGCTGATAATGATATTTTTCAGAAAAACGCTGTTCAACTTTATTTTAGAACGTCCGAAGAATATTTACTAATTTTTAATTTAATTTAATTATCAATCGAGCCGATTCCAGTGAAGATTAACGATACAAAAATTCCGGCAAACTCGCGCAAAAGATATTTTTGTTTCAATAATTCCGTATCCAAACAGAATTCAACGGACGATTCGCAATGCTAATTTTATAATAAATCGCGTCAAAGAACACGAGGGATATGTTTATTTAAGAATTGCGAAGAATATCGTTAATAGTAAATTTACCCATTTCGATGAGGATGCATTTGCTGCTTGGAAATTTCGGTGACAATTCACGATGTCGATGCACCGACCTCGCACAATGTTAAGTAGATACCATTACGATTAAAACATTTTTTGCCCATTTTTATACTTAGCAACATAAAATGAATAAAATCAAACGCTTTCACAAGGACGTGTAATCTTTTCCGCTGAAAACAAGACTTCCTTTATCTCAGGCGCTTTGCTCCAAAAATGTGCCGGAGTTGCTGGTAGGAGGGTAGTACTCGAGAAACGCGTGGAGCGCTAAGGGTTGAAACTCGGCAATTTTGAATTCGTTAATCGACGAAGCCAGTCGCTTGCAGCTGAAATCCTTTTTCATCTACGACGTTACCAATAAATGCAACTTTAATACAATAATTAATTAATAATTAATATCATAAATGCAACTTCCGGGATTTCTGTAAACATTTCTGTAAAGGAAAAAATTACTTCGAATGACCTCAGGATCCCCCTAATGTCCCGGAAGTACCATAATTTTGGGACATCCTGTATGTAAATACCTCGCAAGTTGTCGTTGACACTTTTCGCAGGTGTTGCGAACAACGATGTATCGTTGTTCGACGCTAAAAGGGTTAAACAAAGTCCAAGTGCGAAAGCCGGATGCAGCAACGCTTTCGTAAGTTCTCCTCGAGGAAGGAGGAGGTCCTCGAGGACGTGCTGTTGCAGCAGCGTGGAATCTGAAACGCGGGGTTTCAACTTCGAGGACAAATTCCGCGGGATGAACGAGAACGAAAGTACAAGTTGCTCGATGGCTGGGTTAAGTCTGGGGTCTTCTAACTCTAACGGGACGAGAGACGGACGCGCGATGACGATCCTCGACGCATTCGATTCGATTCGGTTCGATGGTTGGCTTTAACAGAAATATGAACGTCGAATATTCACAAGAAGGAAGCAAATACCGTTTAGTGGATATTTACATACAGTTGCGGACAAAATTGAGTGGACAGACAGTGGAAATGGTTATAAATAAAATTTAGTCGAACTGGTATCATTACTATACACACGAGTTTTGTATATTACACACACATGTCCTTATGGTACATAGAACATGTTGTGCAAAACTCAAGTTAATGTTTATACTTTTGTACACAGAAATCGTACTTAACGGCAAAGTTAGCAAATTTCTGAGGGAGAAATAAAAATGTGCGTATGTATGTAATACCAGCTCGACTAAATTTTATTTATAACCATTTCCACTGTCTGTCCACTCAGTTTTGCCCGCAACTGTATGTTGCGACAACCTAAGGATTTACATCTGATAACAATGTAAGCAAATACCGTTTAGTATTTATTTTCCGCTTAAAGTGTTATATAAAAGAGGAAGCATAATATTTCGGAATGTCCGTTGAAACACAGCTTGAATCTGAACGCGGTAGAAAAATCGCATGAATAAAGATGCGCGGAGCTGCCGTTCGTCGAGCAACATCAGATAAGAGCGGAACGACAGTCTAGTCAGTATAATCATTCGGTATCCGAGCGAGCTGATCGTAGATAGCGAGGAGGATCGATTAGGATCTAGGTCCGAACGAAATTCGCGAGCAATCGTAACATTATGCAACGACCCGGAGGAACGGGAACGCGCGCGGGTCTTTCTAACTTTCGTATTCCGTAGAAAGCGCCTCGCTTCTTTAATCGGATTCGATTATGATCGAGGATCAACGGTTCTTTTATTCGCAATTCATTTCCTCGGAATTCGGTGCTGCCGGTTCGCGTCCGCGATATGTAACCGCGGAGCCGTCGATCCTCATTTATGAAAGCGGTGGGCTCTGGCAAGGGAAATTAGTGAACTCTCCAGGCGGGGCAATTAAACGCGGTGGAAATGGGGATACCGCGTGAACTTCCGCGATCGTTCC